ATATAATAGAATGATAATATGTGAATAAAAATGGTTGAAAAATTCTAAATACTATCTAATAAGCTAGATTTTTAGCATCATACATTAACAGCAGAAGAGGCTTTTTTGTGGATATTATAGTACTTTCAATGGTTGAGATCATGAGTCAGTTGAAGCTAGACGGGATTGTGGTTGCGTACTGTTGAGGAGTCCCACAATAGAACAAAACGGCCATCCAGTGCTTCCAGGTTTTTCATGGTGGTCTAGCTTCAACTGACTTATAATCTCAACAACATTATACAGAAATCAGACAAATTTATTTTATTCTTCTGAAAAGTTATCCGATGCTCATTTAACATCATTTTATAGAATAGAGAATTGTCAAAATTAATTCCATTTAACAGTTGGAATCAACCTAAGCTAGACCACCACTGAAGATCTGGAAGCACTAGATAATCACCTCATCCTAGTATAAGACTCCTAAGCAGTGTGCATCCGCGATTCTTAATGTGGAACTCGAACTCAGAAACTTTTGTCACACACGTGAACACTTAGCCGTCATCGAATGGTGTTAATGTCTCATTTTAATCGATTCATGACCTTGCGCAACCGTTTATCGAATATCTGAGATGAATAATTGTCTCCACCCAATACGGGCTGGGCTCCACTCCTATTTAACTAATTGAGGGAATTAATTAATTTCCTAGGTATTCCAGAAATTACTCATTTTGTAGTTTTTAATTGATTTTGTTTCTGGTTAATATCTTTTTATTCAAGGTTGTTTACGCAAGCAAGTTTTAAATTGAAGACTGACTTTGGCTAGATAACTGTAAGACTCCATTTGTCAGTCATCGTAGATGTCACACAAGTGTCACTAAATACATTTAACATTCGTCGCACAATATGCGACATGTAAACTAACTGATGTCAAGTCAGTAGATCATTCAGTAGACATTCTTTTCAAAAATGAAGAATATTTGAGCTAACCATTGTTTTCAATAACTTCATCATCAGGCTCTACAGTCATAAGTTCAGAATTATTGTGATATTTTAAAGGCCAAAATAAAGCGTGTATTAGTGAATTTGACAATGTTGTTGTGACTCGTAAGCCCAGCTAATTATCACGTGATTTATTCGCCAATCGAAATGCAACTTACACAATCTTAGTACTGTGCCAAACCAATGACGTTCAACCGGTATGAACAGCCAAGCGTCCTTATTGGTCCTTTGTTCTCCTGACACTTCCAGCTAAGTCCAGAGTACCAATTACAGCTTCCACTATGCGAATCATTTATTTCAAACATACTTGGTTTATATACAAGCCAAACAGACCTCGTCACACCATAAGATAGGAATTAACATTTATAGAAGATCAAGCCAAAAAAGTGGCTATGTACGTTGAAGACTGTAATCAATAAACTGAGCATAATTTAAGGATAGTAAATTGTATCATAATAGTCTATAGATCCAAATAAAGCGTGCAATAAGAGGAGTACAGATATGCATAATCTGGTTACGAAATAGTTATGCAGTAACAATATATATATATTAGTCCATTAATAGATCGCAGAAGTAACACGTAATTTAATCTTCATTAGGATATAAAAGTTATATATTAAAAAGTGGTGAATATTTGCATCTGTTACAACACATATACCTCGAAATTGTGTTATTTGTAAATTACAAATGTCATTTAATAAAAACCATAATAATTTGGAGTAAAGTGTCAAGGCACAATCAGAATAATAGTAATATCACAAGGTGAAATCATGTGAATAAAATGCATATTAGGAGAATTTCGTCATGTTAATCGAGGTAGTAGTAATAATAATATCGTTGTGTGAACGTGTTATCAAGGTAATTACTATAAAAAGAAATCACGTGAGTTGGGAAAGACAGTTGTGCAGATTAAGAAAGTTATCAACACAAAAAGAATTGGGAGGGGGTAAGAAGTTTATAAGATTCAGTTTAGGTATCAGGTGGTTCAGTCGTGGGCCAAGGTAAACATAAAGGTTGGATATATTTCTTCTGGATATATAAGTTCGGCTTCTAGGAGTTGATCCAGATGGGTTCAGTTATGTAGAGTAGCTATAATCTAGCTCTTAGAAGTAGAATTTTTAGAACTTGATATAAAACATGTTCACGGACACGCAAAGATAAAGCCTTCTGAATACGGCCTATGTAACGAGCTCCACAGGAGCAGTTGAATTAGTTTACAAATATGGAGGAGCACATCATCAACAACCTATCCTTATTTTTTTGTTTGTAAGAACTTGTTTTGTTGGAGGAATTGTGTGTAACTTGGTATCACGAAGCATCCTCTCAACAGATCTTTTGAGTCAACGTGTTAAAATGTAACCCGCTATGTCCTCTTTAAAGTTCAGTTTCAGATACAGGGTGTTTTTACTGATCGAGTCACAGTTTCTTCTTTTTTTAAAATACCTCCTAATAGAAATTTTTAGACGAAATTATCTGGATAGTCGTTATTTCGTTATGTTTTTTAGTGTGTCTTTCTCTATATCTACTCTATCTTCAGAACATAATTGTTTGATTCTGTGGCTGAGACATTTAACAAAATTTGTTTTGTATTGAAGAGGTGTAAAGCCATGGAAATGGGTATATTGACCCGTTCATGTACTCTTTCTAAATATATTTCCTTTTATGGAACCTAGAAATTAGGATATAAAGGCAAGCTATAATATTGACATTTTCTTCTTCGTTGGTGAATTTAATAGTTGGATGGACGTTACTGAAACAGTTTATCAGCTCTTGTTTGTGGATAATTTCATCACACACGATTAGTGTGTCATCTGTGTATTGGCAGTAATAATTTAACTTATTTAGTGTGTCTTTCGAATTACGATCAGGCCTAGGAGTGATCCGATTGCAACTCCATCTATTTGTCCGTTAAGTTCAGTGTTAGACATAGAGTAGATATTCACAGTACATTTCAACAAAGGCTCCTTCGTTTTACTTATTGGGATCGGCATCTCTATTTTCTTTTCTAGCAGTTGTTCACATATGTAATCAATAGTTCCATTCAGTGGGATGTTATTCGAAAAAGATGTTATGTTTAGTGATAGTATGGTTTGACTATCTATCTTCTTCATTTTTCATTATATCCACAAATGTCTTTAACGCTGTACTTAACCAATTATTAGTGTAATGGTTCTAACAGTTTTACCAACCATTTTGTTATTGAATGATATGGTGAATTTGACTTGCCTAGAATTGAACCTAAATGAATCTCAGGTTTACGAATCACAAGTATGCCATAGAGTGGAGGAATATGTGTTGTTTTATTGATCATCATGTTACTTGCTTATGGTTTATTAAATATACTGTTCATACTTAAAATGGATTGTTTCACTGTGAACCACTAAGAAAAAGAATTCAAAAAGAATTTAGATTGTTTATATTTAATTCAGTATGTAAAACCAAACAATAGTTATACTATGGAATTCATAGTGTTATTTCATTAGCCTGTAATAATCTACACTCTACCACTCACAACTGACAACGTTATTACGGAAATCGTATGAGGTTATCTATTCATTTGTCAGTGGTAAATAAAAGTGTAATATCTAGCGATTTCAAAACATTTTTCCGTTCATTTAGCGGGTGAGTACTGGTTATGAGATGATAATTTTCATTACGAGTTTTATTTCAATTGTTTGAAGATATCTACATATGTTTTCTATGAATACGTCACTGTTACGTATCACAATCTACTAGATGAGAAGAGCAAATAAAGTGGAAGTTACAACTTGAATTGTGATCTTTATTGAAAGTTATGCTCTTATGTACATTAATCACATATCAAATGAGCGGAAATTACCTAAAAATACTTGATATTGGAAGCATATTGAGCATTGGAAAACAAATGTACTGTAAAGTCACAAGGATGTATCCTGTTTCAGAAAACCTAGTACCGTATTTCAGATTAATAAAATGCTTGTTTAATCAATAATTTACTGGAATAATTATTCAATAAATTATATAACCTGAACTCTTTATTGATTTTATTAGGATCCATTAATCAATAATAATGTTAAACTATAAACCTAATAGCACTAACTCTGGGTAAGAATAAACTCTACTCTCGTTTGCGGTTTTGACCTTGCATTTGGTAACTGACGAAAATAAAGTGGAAATTATTATTTACACCATCGTAATCAATGATGGAGAGCGTTTCGTTCTCTGTAGTTTTGCTGGCTTACATGAAAAATATAAAGTTTTCTATGACAAAAATAGCACTAAATTGTGCTACGGATGTGTCAAGAAAGTCATGATGTAACAAAATCTACAGCACAGAAAATACATATGTCCAATTAATTCTATGGTAGAAGTTATTTCAAAACGTAAACGCAAATAATTAACTGGAAAACACACTGATAACATCAAAAAGGGTTTTGTGGATATTATAGTAATTCTAATAGCTGGGATCAAATGTCAATGGAAACTAGACCATCATGGAAAACCTGGAAGCACCAGACGACCGTTTCATCCTATTGTGGGATTCCTTAGCAGTGAGCATCCACGATCCCATCCCGCGAGATTCAAATTTACGGCCTATCGGTCTTGCTTGCGATCGTTTAACCTCTAGACCACTTAGCAGTAAATATTATATTATTCATACTTGAGATTTCAACAATTCATCAATTCAAACTGGATCTTTATGGAAAAAACGACATGTTCGATCTCTTATTTTTCCATAATCTTAACATGCTTTCTAGTCATACTTATTGTGGTTTATACTGATTAACTCATTCTCCACTTTTATATAAATCAAGTGAACGATCATTATTTTTACCTTATTCCATATCACTACCTTTCATATTAATATGGGATTTACACTATTAATGACGCGGCAACTTTTTAAATTACTGTACAATTGTACAGTAATAATAAATAAACCACCAAAAATAAACTTTTTATCACTAGACGATATTGATTATTGATTACATAACAAGAGAAAAGGATAACAAACTTTATTTAACAAATTGATTATTTCATTTTAGTTAATGGAAGCTAATCAAAAACTGGTATGTAAATGTCATGGAGTTAGTGGTAGTTGTGCTCAACGCGTTTGCTTTCGTCAACTTCGACGAATCGATACAGAATTAATGCAGAAAGCATTAAAAATGAGATACTTAGTAAGTTTAAATACAATAAATTTGAGTCACTTTCACATTGTTCATTAATCCACAAATTAATATAAAATATAGCGTTTTTTTCTGATTAGCATTTTTTTAGCAAGTTAGTTTTCTACGGGATGGGGTCGCTAACCCCATGCCCAACCCTCCTCCTTTACCCTGGCTTGGGGCCGGCAGTAGTAACTCTAGAAGAGCTACAGGCGGAGTCAATATAAAATATACTTAACAGTATTAAATTTAGTGTTTATCAGATTTGTTTTTATTTATTGATCCATGAATTTCAGAATGAATAATGAATAAATATTTTTCTAGACAGTTTATATAATTGTTTGATCGCAGTAAGGTAATAATTCAAGATTATGAAATACAGGACATATATTTCATCTTAGTATGGGGTTCGTCAATTGTGTGTATCCAAGATCTTACCGAAGACCTTCGGTTTTACGGTGTTTGCTTAACCTCTGTGCCAATGAGATGGAATTCAATGTTATAAGGTTTCTAACTTTATTGAATTCATAACATTATACGACATATTTTGATTGCCCAGGGTAAGTAACTATCTGACGCCTGTTATAGTTTAATTGTACTAGTTATGGCTTCTCACTATGACTCCTGGAGTCACATTTAGAAGTTAGTCTCGAATAAGTACATAATTGTTACAGATATCTCTTTTATTTATCCTTACTTTTATTATTGATATATTTTTATTCTCATTTTCTCAAAAATAAGGCAGCCAAACAGGTTTCGGAAGGTAAAAATGGTGAATTAATCGCCAAAACATTTATTGGTAATGGATTTATCGATGAAGTAGTAAAACCTGAAGAATTGGTATTTAGTGAACATTCACCAGATTACTGTAATGTAGAACCTCAAAGAGGTTCTGTTGGTACACGAGATAGGTAAGTTGTAAAAATACCATGTGATGTATGAGTAAATAAGTTTCTATGCGTATTGTTTCCCATAAAATTGTTCATTGAAAGAAACTTAATTATATTAGACAGTAGGTTTATGGTGAAAATATTCATTAGTCAGAATAACAGTGAAATGTAAATTTAAGTTCACATGGTTAGAATTAGTCAAAGGTTCAAAGATATATTCATGATTTTGAGATAATAATTTGTTTGAATATTATGCCAAAATAATTCAGTTCAAGCAAATGATAAGGATTCTCACAGATTTTGTTTCTGTAAATTTCAATCATTATATTAATAAGAGGGTTATAATGCTAAGATATTATCACATTATCTTTCTTACAGTTCCTCAAAGACATAAGTAAAGTTATAATTTGAACGACAATTAAGCTATCGTGTCGCACAGAAATAGCTAAAACCTGTCTATCTTCAACTAGGTTAAGATTAACGGCTAAACAGAAAACAAAATACACAACCATCAGTGACTAAGCTAAAAGTCTTGATCTTTAAGTTGTTTTAAATTTAATACGGTCAATAAATGAGATATGAATATCAGAATTTTCGACTATACAGAGTGATTGTGTATTCTCTTAAAGCCAAATTACTTGCTGAAAACATTTTACGTTATTTCTCATTTGTAAACAGAATTTGTACATTGAAAGATACGGGGACATCAAATTGTGTGAATATGTGTTGTGGTCGTGGTTACAGAAATGTGACTAAACGAGAAATTGTTCAATGCAACTGTCGAATGGCCAATGGATTCAAAGTGCAATGTGATGAATGTAATATTGAAACTGTAACTCAGAGATGTTTATGAATGCACTTAGCAACTTATTAGATGTTAAATACCGAAGGAAATTCTCCAGGGTCATGATTTAAATCAGCGAGAACAATTTCATGATAGCAGGCTATGCATGTGGTGTACACATCTTATGTTTTTAATTTTCTTAAAAATACTGTACTACTTAAAAATTGTAAGTAATTTATTATGGAACCATTATATTTAGACCATATCAATCACGGTTATGTACATATATCTTTCTAACTTTGCATGCTAAGCCAAATCCATGTTACTTATTATGCTAAAAAAACACGCCAACCAAATCTTATTTTTTGCAAACATATATCACAGACAACCACAAATTACATAGTAAGTTAGGATTAAATTTCGAAGAGAGTGAAATGAGTGAAAAAGACGTGATGTATTTGGTCTTTCGTAACAAATAACGAGTCTTTGATTAAATTAAGTTCTGCGTACATGAGATGTTCTATCAACAATATGATTAGGTTTCACAGAGCTTAGGTAATCATTGATGTATCAGCGGATACTTTAATAATATAGAACGTTTTTTTGGCTGAAATCTCAACAGAAATGTAAATGGGCAAAAGACTACTTGTCACGAATATTTATTAATTTCTGGTTCGCGTTAACTAATCGCCATATTTTGCGGATTTCAATGTCTTTTTCTGTGCATATAGCCGGATTCTGTCAATTGAACCGTGGAATGATACCCATTTGTGTTCAAAAAATAAATTTTGAAAAAAAGTTGGTCATTGTAAGAGCACGATTCTATACAAATTCCAAATTAATCTCAATGAAAGTAATGAATTCCTTATTGTTTGCGTATTCGCTTTGTCGATCAGTATCTAGATATCCAAAACAAAAACATTTAGTCAGTGATAATTAATGTAGAATCTGGATACTTGTGATTCGGAGCAAGTTGCGATGATATATCATTGAAACGTGATGAAATTGACAAAATAACTCCCACATAATTAGAATTAGTAATAATACCAGCGAAAGTTGAAAAAATTTAACGTAGACGATATGACTAAAAGTTAAAAAGTAAATTTGTGGAATTAAAAGTATACAATAAATTTAAAACCCAAGACTTTAAAGAAGACGAACAGTGAATGCATCTCTTCCATTGAGAAACATTCTGAGCCATAACATCAACTCGTAACTAACTATTGATTAGGAAAATTACAATATGGTGAAGAAGATTTGTAGCTCAGGTGGATGTTCTTTGAGCTCAAAGAATAAGGCTCCATCAAAATTACTCTATCTCCAAAAAGGTAACCCACATCTACTAAGATGGCTCAACTCAACTATCAATGACCTTATTGACTGAGGCTAGATCTAGCTTTCATCTGACCTACTTCTATACCAGGCAGCATACCGCGTCGAGGTAGTTGGTGGCTGTATATAAGTGATACATATCCAAACAACCTCAGTATATGAAAATGTACTACCTCATTACATAAACAGTTACCTTTACCCGTTACTTTAAGTCTAACCTAAGCTTAGCACAACATTCTCGAGGAATGTTTTGAAGGTACTTATTATTAAAAACTGGCAATATTCGAAAATCCTCTGTATTTAGAGACAATGTTTCATAAAGGTAAAGAAAAACTAAGTGAAATGCTTTGCAGCATACTCGTGTCCCAAGTGATACAAATTGATGAAAGCCAATGGACAACAACCTACAATAATTGATGAAACTTCCCCCATAGGTTTTGTGGTCAATTTCATTAAGTACTTCACCCCCTATCAGTAATATAGTAGTAGGTGAAAACCAGCCCAGAAGAAAGATTTTGCACTTAGAGGGATAGAAATGAATTTACACATGCTTACACTACCGCCAAAAAGGATCAAAAGACCATATTTCTTCAGTTTCTTTGCCAAATAATACCACGTGATTTCTGTGTTTTAAGTTAAAAAGTGAACATTTCGGTAGGAGATTAATCCAAATGTAGTTAGACAAAGAAATGATCACCTCTAAAAGAATGTCTACGACGAAATTAGATAAAAATGAGGAAAGCGTACAGTCCTCATAAACATCACGAAACGTTTTCAATTCTGATGACAATTCTCTATGAACTCTTAGTAGACTTTTAGTAGTAGAGCTTATGATTCTTCAAAATAAGGGAATTTTTTGGACGAAATCATTTGCTTAAGTTGTTCATTCGTATTTACGGTTGTTTGTTAAATATATATAACAGTAGAAAGATATAAAAGATTGCATCGTAAAGTGACTCGAGATTTCAAACATCAAATGAGGTTGAGTATTAATCAGGGAGTTAAAGAAGAATGAGGGGATGTAGCGGTTACTTTCCAAACGCGTTCAAGAACATTACCCGGTAGGGCTTTTAAGAAAAGAATGCAAACCAATCATCAGTTCAATAAAGGAGCACCTAGTCAACTCTGGACACATCACTTCAAAGTAGTGTTCCTTCAAAATAATCTACTTATTTAAAGGAACTAGGTTGAAATGAGGCTGTCATAAAAACTTATGCACTTTTGAGGCGTAGGAGATCCACTAATTCAAGTCCAAACCCTGTGTGTAAAGACGACACGTCTAACCTCTTATACTTTCTTGGGACTAATTCCCTTCCGAAGCATGCTTTAGTCTTGTTTTATTTTTATTATTGTTTTATAATTTAGAACCGTAAGCAGTTATTATTATCCTTTACAATTTTTCATGAGCCTCATTCAGTTATTATTATAACCATTATGTTTTTTCATTTTTCTTTAAGTGGACGATTATCGTTCATAATTCTGACCCGTAAATTATTTTTTATCCTTCTATCTTTCTCTTACCTCTTGATTATTACATAACCTCATCTGATAATAAGAGTCTCGAATCAATTTATGATGTAATCTTTTTAGACGTATATTTACCACACAACTAGGAATACGAGTGTACAACTTAAGTAAATGATTTTGTCGAAAAGAAAATTTTCTTCTCTGAATTCTTTATATTTTTATTTATTGACACATTGAGTTATTTTAATTATCCAAAGGATATTTGTTAATTACTGGTGTTTTACCAGTATTTTATTAGTATTTTCAATCTCGTATGCTTTTGGAATTATTCGGGTGAGGATGTTACAATTCAGCGTTCAGTTTATCGAAAAGATACATGGAATGGTATTTATCTGAATTTCAATAGCTTCTTTCTGTTAGTTATAAAAAGACACTTATCGAAACTTTATTTCACAGAACAGAAAGAATAGTACCACCGATACACTAGAAGTCAAATTAATGAACGCTAAAAATTGCCTTATAAACGAAAAGTATCCAAAGACATTTATTGGGAAAAGTTAGAACAAAAGATCTAAAGAAACTACAGTAGACAAGAAACATATTTTCACTCACCTTGGATCAAAAAATGACGGTGTTGCAGTGACAATAGACAAGATTAAAAACCACACTGACCAGAGCATCTCCTGGAGCCAAACTGATTATCTTGTATAAAATATGTTCTTTACTCCAATCGAGGATTGATAGCTAGTTCTTTCAAGTTACCGTAAACTGGGTATATAAATTTATATGTACCTGCTAAAGCAATTACATTGATAGGACAGAAAGAAGTCTCTACTTTTGAACCAAAGAATAAATCCCAAACAGTCTCAGATCAATAGGATTAAAGGGTTTCAGCACTGTATTTTCTGGACATCTCTGTAACACAGAGCATCAAGTCGATATACTGAAATCTTTCATAATCATCAATCGACAGTTAGATTTCATTCCGTTCAATTTCGCCAATGTCATAGCCATGAAACATTTAAAACTGGGCTTATGCATCTAAAAAATGTTATAAATCTTTGCTTTTTATGTCGACTTTATTGTCAGTTAATTATATCATTCTTAAAATATTTTCTCTCTTATTCCGATTGCATCACTTTCACGTTCATAATTTTGTATTTAATTGACTGAATTCAATCTGTTTAATTCTTGATTACTATTAATTTTTGTACACATAGCTCCCTTTATTATTTTAAAGAGAGCAAGAACAAAGATTGGTGCAGAATAATATGAATTCATTTTATTTCGTTAGGTTCTCATCAGGTAATTACAACATTAAATATTTGAAATTCAAAATTATTACAGATATTGACATATTTCTCCATAAGATGGTGATTAAAGATGAATAAATGTATCATGGTGTAGCGAAGATTTCGATAGAGTTAATGAGGTCATGAAATTTTGTCTCTAAGAAATAGAGTTTGAGAGGGAAAGTTCCGGAACATTGAAATAGGGATTAGAACTCATGAAAATAGATTAATGGTAATAAAGAAAATATGAATTGAAATCAGTTAGTTATGTATGATGCTATTTAAACTTTAGAAAAAGTTGGAATAATGGCGCAATAAAGAAATAAGTAGAAATAAATGGATAAAAAAGGGGGAGGATATTGTTACCAGGGTAAAGAAAGATTTATTACTGTCTCTTTTGTATACATAAGTCTGGTTTTAGACGTTTGATTGCTAATGCTTCAGCAAATTTCAGAAGGTTGGAGCTTAACTGTTTATTAACCACCTTAAAGGACTTCAGTGTGTCAACTTCGTGTCCTGTATCAAGGAGATGTTTTGCGATGGCACTGTTGAATGTTTTCAATCCATTTGATTTTGAACTTTTCGGAATATGTTCTTTGAATCGGACGTAGGCTCTCCTTTCTGTTCTACCAATGTAACTGCTTTGGCAGATACATGTGAATTTGTATACACAGTTGGTGGTAACATGAAAGGGATACCTGTCGACCTTTGATTGTATCAAAGAACTTATTTGTTTCTTTATTTATTTATTGCGCCATTATTCCAACTTTTTCTAAAGTTTAAATAGCATCATACATAACTAACTGATTTCAATTCATATTTTCTTTATTACCATTAATCTATTTTCATGAGTTCTAATCCCTATTTCAATGTTCCGGAACTTTCCCTCTCAAACTCTATTTCTTAGAGACAAAATTTCATGACCTCATTAACTCTATCGAAATCTTCGCTACACCATGATACATTCATTCATCTTTAGTCACCATCTTATGGATAAATATGTCAATATCTGTAATAATTTTGAATTTCAAATAATTCGCGTTTTTAAGCAGCTGATGAGAACCTAACGAAATAAAATGAATTCATATTATTCTGCACCAATCTTTGTTCTTGCTCTCTTTAAAATATTAATTTTTGTCTTCATTATATCATCGATAAATTATTTTACCGCTATGATCTCTTTTTTCTGTCTGATAATCCATAATCTCTTACATATTTTACTTATTTACAACACCTTATATGTCCAATTTTACTGTGATGAGTA